ATGCTCATGCCAACCCGAGCCGTGGTTGGTCTTCTCAAACTGCCAATATTATGACTTGATTCGCCAGTATCTACCCTTGAGCCCAGCCCATCAAGCCCAAATCTTAGGCAGCTTCGTTTGCCTTCAACGATCTAGCCGCAAACGGGGAGGAGGGATATTCCTTCTTATATTGAGGCCCGTATCAAAGCCCCTTTTCATCTATAGTTTGTAACACTAGGAATAGCTAGCTTTTTGTTCGTGAAGTTTCTCCCTCATGAATTGATGTTTTCTTCCTAAATCATCGCCTAGTGAACTAAGGCTCTCATGTGGCGACGGGGTCACTTCCAGGCACCAAGGTCATGGTGCAAACAGCCATCACTCTACCCTGTCCTGCGCTAGTTCCCAAGGAGTTCGGCTCCAGCCCGGTTGTTGATTCCCAAGAGCTTCTTGCTTATCATTATTAGTTGCCATAGCCTGTAGAATGTCTCCAGAAGCCAAAAAACCAGCGATTGTTTATTTATCACGGCTAAAACGCATCAGCTATCACGCTATCTAATTAGACCTTTCCATGAACCAAATATTAGGACAAACGTGGCGCCTCTTCACCCATGTATGCTTCGCCGTCCATACAATAGACAACCCGGACTCGCTTGTTTTTTTATAGATAAAATATTCCGCGCCTGATTGCTTACCTATGGACCCAAAAAAAAAACCTTCTCCTTTTCTGTGTCTCCAACATAACGCCGATCTCATATTTATCCCTCCTCTCCAAGTCTTCAAATACTCTTTCAGAAAGTATCGAGCTACGTTGCCAGTAAGATATTCATCATGACCCGCATCCACAAGCCTCGTGTGAGCTGGGGGCAGACAGATCGCGTCTGCCAGATCTAAATCGTACGCAGCTAAAACGAAGCCTATTGCTAAATTATTCGATCCATAGAACACAGAATCTTACTTCCTTGAGCGACAACCACGTACCGAACTCCGGAATACAATTACGAATCCGCCCATAAGCCGCTCGAGTAGAACACATCATTGTGGGAGGAACAAAGGGCTTAGCAAAGAATCTCCTGAGCTACCTTCTCCTCTCTGCGCAGCCCTTAACATGGGGTCATGCTGTCTTACCTGCAGAAGCGCTCATATGTCCACTCATTTTGGCCACGATTAGTCCCCAGACCTGAATCTTAGCCGAGTTCTAATGGCTGGTGCGCACTCCCTTGGCGTTCGATATCGTCTGATCATGGTACAATATATCATGCTGGTCTAGGGGAAGGCCTGCAGCATTGCTATCTTTACAACGCGCCTTCGGGTCACTGGAAAAAGATATATCCTGTTAACGGTAGCACCCTACTGTGACTTGCTGTTATCCATGCCCATCCCAGTGCGTATTCTGCACTTCTACAGTTTCAAGGATAGCTCCTCTGTTCAATTTCCGGTGAATCCTTACTGAGGTCGGCTCTTGGCGTCAATTATCGCGAAGCATCTTATCTGACACTTGTTTCTTTCTACCAAAACCTGTAAACGAAAATAACCTAGAAAATTTGAGGACAAGAAACTTTCCTCTGCCAGCAACTTATTTATGTACAGTCTCACCGATAAAGAACCACGTTCTCCTCACTACTAGACTGGCAGCCATGGCTATCAGCTCAACATGATATGTTAGTTTTCTTTGGTATTGTGGTCCACTACTCTTTGATTCCGTAGATAGATCACTCCTATCTCCTATTCCATTTCAAAAAGCGATCGCGTCAGTTTGTCTACGTAATTAGAAGGATTAACAACCTACTACCTCCCCAAGCTTTGTATACATATATCTTTCCTCATAGCCATGAGAATTTCCAAGATTTGTCCATATATGTGATACGTGTTACTATTAACGTCTTTCTTTAAGACAAACATTAATATGTACCCAGCCTAGTAAACACGAAGAAAGCCTATCAAAGTCAACACCAACAGACTTGGGCCAGGCATTAACGCCTCCAAAATACTCCAACCGAGACCGAACGGGACAAGGGGGTGTTCATAACCACACCTCCTTCTTCAAGTTTCTTCTCAAAAGTTCAATAATATGTCCGTCTCTTCCGACCATGGCTCGGTCAGAGCAAGTGACCAGGTCCTCATACACACGGCGACGATAGTCATACTCCAAACTTGATTGAAAAACCAGGCACTCTCCTAACCGTCCGTTTCTCTCTTCCTGTATGGACGGACCCTAGGGAATGCCGTAAAGTGTTGATCCGATTGTTGTCGATTCTCCCTTAGTAACAAAGGGGTATCAAACATTGCTACAATATTAGCTTAGGCGGGCCCTTAGAACTTTTCTATCGGAACTCTATTGTTTAGACCAGTTGCAACAATGTTCCAAAGTGCGTAGATGATTGGAACCAATTTTATTTAAAAATCCATGTCCTATGAATGATCCCTTATAGTTTAGTTTCTCTTCGGCTTACGCATGTCAATTTCTTAACTTGTTTGATTCCTGCTTGCTATAGAATTGAGAGAATCTTTGGTTTAAGTGAGCTATGTTGATAATTAGATACAGATTAAGAATAACCAACAGTTGCAAGTTTACCAGAATACTGTGTCTCTGGCAACGATTTAAGCCGTCGTGAAGCTTGTAAGTCACCTATGACTAGGCGAGATATTCCGCTGTACATCCTCCAGGGCACCAGGAAAGTGAAAGCAACTCTTGGCTCTTCTGTTTCGAGGCTCAGACCGACCCAGCAAGAAGCGAAAGGTTTAGAATGAAGGCAATGGGGTTCGTGCTTGCTTGCTTGCTTGTTTTAATTCCATGGAACTACGCAATGTCTACAACTGTCTTTCACCGTAGTCCATTCTTTGCCGACCACTACCAATACTCGCTGTCATTCCAATTGTTTATCTGGGATGTCGTAGAAAAAGGCAGCCATGTTGCCTATTTTCTCCGTTTAAATTCTCATGAAAGTCTCCAAGGGAAGGATACTACGCCTTTATGGCTAACCCTTGAAACCATAGGACAATTTACAGAGACTCAGTATTTTGTTTCAAATCTGTTGTTCGGAAAGTTACGATATATCGCCTCAGGTAATTGGCGCAGAGCGAGAGAATCACCCACATAATGAACAATCATTCTAACCTGTATAGAAGTCTGATAGATAGCTGTGATTGGTGCAGCAGAACTTTCGTTATTTTACTGATAGTTATGCTCAAGAAAAGGCATATCAAGAGCCATCTTCCAGAGCAACATACGACAATGGGCCTTGTGGTTAGCTTGAGATTATGATATAAGCGCTGGGGAGATATTCCAGTATTCTCGACAAATAGTCTCTTTGTTGTTTGGTGATTGGGATTCCTCTTGGCGCTATTCCATTAAGCACTGCTGCCATTCTCTTCCTCCTCACTCCCAGTTCCAAAGGTCAAGGTCATGAATACTCTACCAAGCCTAGAGGAATGAAGAGGTTAACACTTCGCCGTGACTGTAAACAAGCTTCCGCTGCTCTGTTCGGCGAGTGTGTAACAATCATCTCAGGTTAGGTTGAGTGGTGCGTTCTCTTGGGTACATGAGCATGTAATGTACTAGTATTGGACAATGGGACACACTCATAACTAAGCTCGGAGGAACGGGTTTCAGGGCTCAGCCTTGCTGCGGACTTCACAACCCACAGACTCATGGTCTAGATATACGAGCTTAGGGTAGTTGGGATATACTAGCAGTTATATCTCAACGTCAGTTGCGATAGAAGCGCACACATAGACAGGCGTAGGGGGGGCCGGACGGAGAAGAAAAACGCCACACTTTGCAAAAGAACGCAATCGTCAGCTTGTGCTATAAATGGGAGTAGGGCTTGCAAGTGGCATCCCGATTTTCCGTCCAAAGGCTGGCATGGGCTGCACAGTGTTGCATTGCGGGAAAATCCACAACAGAGGTGAATCCAATATCCCACTTGCGGGCAATAACTTTCTCATAGACTACTCATAGTACGACCGGGAATGCCCGGCGTGCTTGTCACGAGCTTACTCCACACACTCAATACAGAGGGCCCTTTGTAGGAGTTATTGAGCTTATTCTCATTACTCCCCTGCGACGTGATCCGACTGCGGAGTGGTAGATGAGGAAGCTTCAGATGCGCGATATACTACATGGGGTAAGACCGGAAGGTGTTTAATGTAGGTGCTAGCTGGTTAGCACCGTCAAAATGGCTGCCTCGCTGGATCCTACTGTAAATTAACTTGGTTACAGATGTCGATCTGTGGTGACTAGACATCAGAATGGCTTTGGCTAATCCCACACAAGTCGGAAGAAGTGGAGAGGCCATGATGTAGTCGGAAGTAGGGATTTTGTATTTTAAACCCTGCCAAAGCTTGAAGGAGACGTCGGTAGTGGTCATTGAGGTCGGTCCCTGAGCTTCAAACTGCAACACAATAAAAAATCAGTTCCTCCCAGGCACGGATTCAGCCGGCAGATCAGCAAAGCTGCGCATTGCTGGATTGCGAGCCTTCAGACGAGCGATGTGACCCGGCAAATTAACGATGGACGAATGACTTCTTCAGCGCGGGTACTCAGTATGTACAGGGCTGTCACCAGATGGAGCTGAGCCATTTTTCTCTCTGCAGGTTATCAGATTGATAAGATGATCTGATACGCCGAGCTATACGCAGGACCCCTCCTGGTCTCCATCTTAGAGGCAGCAACTGCCGTGACTAAACATGCATCATGACGGAAGCGAATCTAACCACACCATGTCCCGTCCTCTTGGCTTCTTGGCTGCCTCGCCACCTCCCTCGTAGAGAAGAAGCTGCTGCGAAGAACGTCGCCGGTCCCCTCCTCTACCCATGCCAGGCCAGCAAGTGTGTGTGCTGGAATTGCCCAGTGTGGGCATATCGCCGACGATCGCAAAAGCAATGCAGCACGCGATGATAAAAGAAGAACCGATGCCCCCTCTCGGCGCAGGAGTGATGCTACCTGGCCTGCATCCTCTCACCATCCACAGAAGCTCCCCCTCTCTCTACTCATATCACCCCAAGCCCCTATTCCATCGATCATGTCTGAGGCACAGCCGACCTTGATCAGCCTGGCCGCCAAGGTCACTGAGCTTTCCCAAAACTTCACCAAGTACCTCGAGGATAATGGCATCCCTGCGCCCTCACTCGCCGCCGACAGCCCAACGAGTTACTCAGGTCTGAATGCAGAGTCATTCATCCTGCGTCAGCAACTTCTGGATGCCTTGAATGACATGTGGATCTTGACTCAGGGTCCTAGCGAAAGTATCTTCAACTACGTGCATAATGTAAGAGCATCGCGGTCCCTAGTCAAATATGTGTAATGGTGCAATTGACACTCTGTAGGTTATGCCCGATGTCGCATCCCTCAACATCCTAAATCACTTTGACTTCTGGTCAGCCGTCCCCCTTGATGGCTCAGCCTCGTATGCTGCGATTGCAAAGCACACAGCTCTCCCAGAAGAGGTCGTGCGCCGTGTGCTGGAGCACTCGACCACGCTCCAGATCTTCACAAGGGCATCCACGCCGGGGCATGTGCAGCACACGTCCCGCTCTGCCGCACTTGCGAAGCAATCAGGCCTGCGCGCGCTGGTGTCGACTGTGCTGAACGATGCCGGCCCCCCAATGTCGGTCATGCCCGAGGCTCTAAGCAGGTACAGCCTGAACAAGACCACGTTGACGACGGACATGAAGGAAACCGCCTTCGCACTGTTTCACAGTGGTGCCACGCGGGGTGGGTACACTACATCCTGGGAGCTCCTGGAGCAGGATGGCGAGGGAGAGAAGAAAGGCTGGAGGCAGAGGAACTTTGTCGAGTTTATGCGATACATCAAGGATATCTTCCAGTTGGAGAAGGTCATCCTGGAGTCGTATGACTGGAAAGCCGCCGGAAAGGCTACAGTTGTCGATGTAAGTCCTGATGAACCAACACGCCTTTACCAACATAATCCCTGAAGGCAGAGTGGCTAACGAGAATACACATTTCTGCAGATTGGTGGCTCAGGAGGCCATGACAGTGTCGTGCTGGCACAGAATTTCCCAGAGCTCACCATCACTGTACAGGATCTGCCCGAAGCAGGCCCGGCTTTTGACAAGAACACTCCGGCCGAGCTCAAGGATCGGGTGTCGTTCATGGCGCACGACTTCTTCAAGCCACAGCCTGTTCAAGCAGACATCTACATGATCAAGCTGATCCTGCACGACTGGCCTGATAAGGAGTCCGTCCAGATTCTGCGAGGACTGGTGCCGTCCATGCGGCCCGGCTCACGCGTCCTGTTCATTGACTACGTGGGCAAGCAAACCAACCCCGAAGGCCTGCCACGGTCAATCCAGCAGATGGGCACGGCCACTGATCTGCGGATGATGGCCTTGTTCAGTGCAGAGGAACGTCCGGTTGAGGCATGGAAGGAAATCTTCCGTCAGGCAGATGAGAGGTTCGATATTGTGCGTGTGGAGGCAAACCCTGTGGCCTTTTATGTTGTTATGGAGGCCATCTGGAGGGGGGATTAGGTCGCGACGGTTTTCCTCCCGAGGTAGAAAAGTAATAGTAAAAAAGCCAATGCAGCTCGTTGTCAATAAAGAACGGTGTCCATAGATCCAAAGGTGTGGTGGTATTGACCTTTGGTTTTTTTTTGGGCTTCCACAGGTGATGATCGCTGGTGGTTTCACAGCGATCCAGTAGGTAGATCAGGCTGTTATAGCGGTAATACAGAGAGGGCGCCCCTCTGTCGCAATCACATGCCAATCGTCCAATTTTAATGACCAGAACCAGGGCCGTTCCATTTGCCATCGTCACCAGGACCACCGCCTGTCTGGCCTCTCCCTCTCCGTGCGCATCCGAGTAAACGGTCGACGAATATTCTGTTCCTCAGCCGTGTCGTGCCGCCCTCCGATATCAACTCATTGCTCGCCAACGTTAATGGAGCTGGCCAATTAGACTTATCGCCTCCCAGCCGTATCTTTGCGTCCCTCTTCGACCCCTCCGCCTTCCGTCCAAACCCATCCACCAACCTACGTGTCGCCTCGAACCACCCAGTCCTCCTCATCGACAGCCTTTCAACCAAGACACGGCGTAAGATCGCATCCATCACCCCAAAGTGGTCCCTTAGGGACTCGCCGCATCCATGGCGACCACGCTTAGGAGGCGCATACCCCCAGAGGCCGAGCCTGCCGACGACGAGCCTTCGAACCGAACAGATAGCCCTGCGCCCCAGCCAACGTCCCATATCCACGTTATCGAGCGCGGGCCCAAGAAGACGAAACGCCGCAATACTTTCGTGTTCCTTCTTGGCAGTCTCTGCGGCATCATCGGCGCTGGCTTCTTTGCGTCGAGCAATGACATGCTCGAGTTCCCCGAGCTTGGGGACCTGAGCATGGATACTATTCTCGACGCTGTCCCGGCCTCTCTCATTTCCGACCTCAGGAGCTTCGTGCAGGGAGAGCGTGCTGTCGTCGACTCATATGATTCCTTCTCCGTTGGTCTCAAGTCCCGCGCCGAGGGCCTCCAAGCCCACCACCCCATGATCATGGTGCCCGGTGTCATTTCCACCGGTCTCGAGTCTTGGGGCACTGCCAACATCTCCAGGCCATATTTCCGCAAGCGCCTCTGGGGCAGTTGGTCCATGATGCAGGCCCTCATTCTCGACAAGGAAATGTGGAAGCAGCACATTATGCTCGACAAGCAGACTGGTCTCGACCCTCCCGACATCAAGCTCCGTGCGGCCCAAGGTTTCGATGCCACCGACTTCTTCATCACGGGCTACTGGATCTGGAACAAGATCTTCGAGAACCTAGCCACCATCGGGTACGATCCCACAAACTCCTTCACTGCCGCCTACGACTGGCGGCTGTCCTACCCCAACCTCGAGCGGAGAGACCAGTATTTCACGAGGCTCAAATCCTACATCGAGACAGCCGTCGGGTTCGAGGGGAGGAAAGTAGTTTTGGCATCCCACAGCATGGGCAGCCAGGTTGTCTTTTACTTCTTCCACTGGGTCCAGTCCGACCTTGGTGGTAAAGGCGGCCAGGACTGGGTGGAGCGACACATCGAATCGTGGATCAATATCAGTGGCTGCATGCTTGGCGCCGTCAAGGACCTCACGGCCGTCCTGTCCGGCGAGATGCGCGATACGGCACAGCTCAATGCATTTGCTATTTACGGGCTCGAGAAGTTCCTGAGCAAGGAGGAGCGCGCCGAGCTGTTCCGCGCCATGCCTGGCATCTCCTCCATGCTGCCCATGGGGGGTGATGCCGTCTGGGGCAACCAGACGTGGGCTCCGGATGATCAGCCTGGTCGTAACATCTCATTCGGCACTCTTCTCAACTTCCGTGATTATGGCGCCAACTGGACATCACCAGACCGCAACCTCACCGTTAGTGATTCATTGAACTACCTCTTCAATACCACTGAGGACTGGTACCAGAATCAGGTCAAGTCTAGCTACTCTCACGGGGTTGCGCACACCAAGGCCGAGGTGGAAGCGAATGAACTGAATCCTGCCAAATGGATCAATCCGCTTGAGACGAGGCTGCCCCTCGCGCCCAGCCTGAAGATCTACTGCTTTTATGGCTTCGGGAAACCAACAGAGCGTGCCTACTACTACCGGCCACCAGAGCCTTCGGTGCTCACAAACCTAAACATCACCATTGACGTTGGCCTGACGGAGGGAGAGGTAGACCACGGGGTGGTCATGGGTGAGGGTGATGGAACTGTCAACCTGCTCAGCACAGGGTACATGTGCAACCGTGGCTGGCAGATGAAGAGGTACAACCCCGCTGGAGTCCAGGTGACTGTTGTAGAGATGCCTCACGAGCCGGAGCGGTTCAGCCCCAGAGGAGGGCCCAAGACGGCGGATCACGTTGACATTCTGGGGAGGCAGAATCTGAACGAGCTCATCCTCAAGGTAGCGGCTGGCAAGGGCTCCACCATTTCCAACTACGTTGCCAGCAACATTCGCAAGTACGCCGCTCGGGTCAAGATCTACGAGGAGGGCGAGGAGGAGAGCCAAGGGACGGGCGAGGAGGAGAGCCAAGGGACGGGCGAGGAGGGCGAGAGCGGCAGGCTATAGGGCCATATGCTTGCAGTATTACGCCTCATTTTATTTGCAGCACTACTCACAGCATTTGGGTTTCTTCGCCAGCGGTCTGTTCTCGTGAAGGATCGACCTCGTTTGTTTGCTCAGGGCTTTCTCGTCTGTCGATGGAGAAGGAAGAGATACCCTCGGAGATGGCGCAGCTGTCATGAACATAGATAGAAATAGACAGAGTATCAATACCCATAGTACCTTAGTAGAAAAAGACAGAGCTATACTTAATGGAAATAACCTGGAAAGAGGAGCTTGCAAGTTGATGCATTGGGTCATCGGAGCTGCACTCACCGTTGTGAGGTATGCGCGGGTGTTCGCGACAAACCGTGAGGTTTATCTTGACCAGTATACCATGCCACCTTCTCGCGACATCAGATATATTAGGTATGTAAGTCGGTAGTTGATTGCCTCTGCCTACTGGCATCAACGGTAGTTGGATGGAGCTACCTGGCTCTATTGCGTTGGAGCGTCTTGGACGGGCGCCCCAATTCCACGACCCCACCGACCGTTACAGCAGGTTCCCGGCAACCACCAAACCCCCAACCCAAACTGTCGTTGACCAACATCCTTCTTCTACTTCTCTTTCTTCAATCGCCTCGTCGGCGCTTGACTACTGTATTATATTGTGAACCATCTCGGGAGGGCTACTGTCTTATTGTTCTCCCGTTCTTTGTATCTGCTCCATGCCACGTCTTTGGCTGCGTCAACCCCCCCCCGTTTTCCTCCCTCCCAACTGGGCGTCCCTCTCCCCTCTTCACAACCGGCGGCTCCAATTGCGCCCCCCGCCCCACGAAACGTCTGTCGAGAGGTAATCGGTCCAAGTCGCTGCCTCAGCCTCCCCGGAGGCAAATATCCTCGAGTAGGGCAAGCCACGGCACGGCACTCAGCCCAGCACTCAGCCACCTACCTGACATCCGCCAAGGAGGACAAACGGCCCCGATGCAGGCGAGATTGATTCAGCATCCACCCGGTAAAGATGGCAGATTTCGAGGAGGATTCGTGTCCTATTGAGGGGGAAGAACAGATCTGGAGCGGTATGTGTCTACACAGCATTGCTTTTGTTATCTGTAGCGTCATCAACATTGGCTTTTCTCCTATCCCTCCATTCATGAACGTTGCCTCTCCCGCTGACATCTATCCCCGCTACCAAGACCTCACAGCATGTGTAGAAACCGAATGCGACGGCCACGAAGCCATAGACGATGCCTTGCGCACATGGCTGGAGCTCACGCTCAAGCTCCGCGAACTGCTCAACTGCTCGCAGGAACACATCGTCACATGCTCACATCTTCTGTTAAGGAGTCCCTTGTTCCGAAATAACAAAGACTACGTTCGACAGCAAATTATCCACAGCCTGCTGCAAGAGGACGACGCTGGCCCCCTCCACGCCATATCCTGCTTCCTCCTCCTCGACGGCCACCACGAAGAGGCCCTATTTCCGCGCATGATTGACGAGGCCTGCTTCCCTAAACTTCTTGAGCTTCTAAATGCGCACAAGGATGACGACCCCATGCTGCATCGGTTTCTTTTACAACTCATGTATGAGATGTCAAGAATGGAACGGCTCCGGCGAGATGATATCCTCTTAGTCAACGATGACTTTATCCATTATCTTTTCGGAATTATACAGAACCTGTCGGACGATGTCCACGACCCATACCACTATCCTACGATCAGAGTCCTAGTTAGTATTCACCATGCCGCCCTTTTCTGCGATGTTGTTCTGGCAACCATATGCTGACAGAGGTAAAGCTGGTCTTGAACGAGCAGTATATGCTAGCATCAACAGACGTAGCCGCCGATACCCCGCCCCTCACGAATCGAATTGTCAAATGCCTTAGCCTCCATGGCCCCGACTATCGGACGTTTGGCGAAAACATCATTCTCCTTCTCAACAGGGAAACGGAAACATCGCTTCAACTATTGATTCTAAAGCTTCTATACCTTCTTTTCACGACCAAGGCAACATATGAATACTTTTACACAAATGATTTGAGGGTGCTGCTCGATGTCATTATCCGAAACTTGATGGACTTGCCGGACGAGAAGATGGCACTACGGCACACATATCTCCGTGTCCTGTATCCACTCCTGGCTCACACACAGTTGAGCCAACCACCCCACTACAAAAAGGACGAGGTTTTGAGGCTCCTACATATACTACGTGGGTCGCATAATGCTCATTTTGCTCCGGCCGACGAAACAACGCTGCGACTGGTCGATCGCGTATCCAAGGTCTCATGGCTGGACACAGAGCAGGGCAAGGGAGAGGCAGAGGTTGCTCGCAAAATCCTGGGCATCAGTCTCTCCCCATCGCAGACAGACAGCAGTATCAGCGTCTCAAATGTGGCCGAGGTGATGGAAAAGCCAGGGGTCCAGACACCAAGCAGGAATAAAACCGCCAGCGGAGCAGTTGAAGAGGGTGTTCCTGGTCTGCCTCTGCCCTCGGAGGTGCCAGTGTTACCTAAAGCAAAGAAGCCGTTGCCGACGGTTCCAAAGCATCGTCACGGTGTGCCGTTCGCTTCGACGGCCAATGGCACGCCAAAGAAAATACCCCCAAAAGCGCCGCCCCCACGACGGCTTGGGAGAACGCGGACGGCTCAACTAGTCTCCCCTACCGAGCCAGTTAAGTCTCCGGAATGAGCAGCAAATTTGACATTTGTGCTCTTTTTTCATTAATACTTTTCTTTTTCAAGCGCACCAGCTTTATGAAGCGCAGGGAGTACCCTCAGGACACGCACATTGTTTTTGATACGGCCTTTACGAGCAGCATGATACCTCTAGAGGAGGCAGTCAGGGTAGACAGATTCGGACGTACAAATAGCTATACATCGGGATAAGGGAAGTTTGTATGTTCTTGTTATTGATTTTTGTTTATTTCACTGGGCTGCAAGAGGCGTTTCGGGATTATTTTAACATGGCGGATCAGGGATTGTTGGGAAACTACCTTGGCCGGGGACATCATGCGTGCTTGTAATATATCTGGGAACAAGATCGGACCGCAGTGGTGCGCACGTACATGTTGCCTGCCACCAGAACAATTTAAAGTTATTAATAAAAGTACACACAAGCCATTGACTATAATGAGAGGGCCAGTCTTTCCTTCTGCTTCATAGAACCGGGGACGGTAGGATGATGCACCCAACAGAGCATGCCCCAATGCAAAGAATCAGATGAAACTTGAAGGAAGCCCATGTCGATGCGGGGCAGGTGGTGGGGGGAACGCGTGGCTGGGACCATGTTCTGATGCTGTGCTGACCTTTCCTTTGGCGGGAGTGCTTGTTGGACGCGAGACAGAAGCCAAAAATCATGATACCAACCACTACGTCATCGCAACCGGGCGGAGCTGTGAGCGACTCGGACCAAGCGAGCGTCCACTTCCCCCGCCTCTGCGCCGTCTTCTCCAGTCGGCCCTGCCCTGTGCCTCGGAGGCAGCTGGGGAGGGGCCACCAAGTTGGCTAGGCCTGGGCAATCGTCAGTCTAACGCAGCCAAGTACGTCGGACCAAACTGGTGAAATATGCTCCCGCCTGGTGCGCCGCGAGCTGGATGGATGACGCTGTCTCTGGGGCTTTTTGGCACTAGAGCTGGCTGATCCCTGCTGTTTGCATGTGAGTCGCAAATTGCTAGTTGCCCTCTCGAGGTGCTACGTCAGACCTTGATTTTGGCTCTTTGCCATGTCATTCGCGGCATGGGAGCCCGACACGGCCATCTTTGGTTGATTGGACCTGTCAATTGAGGAGCTCTCAAGGCCCGGCAAGTGTGTACATGCATGAAGGCAAATCTAACTGGTTCTCGGCCCTCGAGGGCTCCTACATGTGTTCGGTGCAGCAAGAGTTGCAATGGCCATGAAGGCTAACACAAAGTTAGTGGTGGTGCGTTTCTTTAGAGGTACCTGGGTTAGGCATCCAGGCGAGAGGAAGGATGCTCGGCTGATGCGCCAAAGATGAAGCCCATTATTTGGCACTAACAAGTGCTCTACCGAGCTTTGCATGAATTACAGACGACATTGTCATCAGTCTCAAAGACACCCATGGCCCGATCTTCAGGGTCCGCCAGTCCCGCCAAGTCTAGCGTGAAAGAGAGGTTCGTCCGTCTGCCTCGTCCGTGTGCTGTACTGGAAGATCGCTCCCGCAGCACAAATAACGATCATCATGGACTGGCGCCCGGCTCCTGATCTGATAGCCACGTCGTCTCGCTGTAGATGCCAGACGACCTACCCAATGTAATGAGCGTCGGCCTGCATTCCGCATGCCAGGTCCAAGACAGTCTTGTCCCTATAGGTGCCTAGTTGTTGCCGGTTAGCGGTCGTACAGGACGTAGAGACCTAATTTCTATTCTGGCCTTGCCCAATCAGGCCTAATCACCCAGCTAGCTCTCGGAGGCCCCTCCCAAGTCGCCTAGGAGCCCCCCCAAAAGGAGCATCCTACCGCCTGTCATTGCGTCAACATTTCTCTGGCCTGGGCGCAACCCACATCACATCACTGCACATCCATCCAGTCTAATTACATTCACAACCATCCCCCTTCCACCACCATCTTCCTCTCCCTCTACTATCCATTACCCTCTCCTTTGCTACATGCATGCGCCTCCCGTCCTCATTCCCTTCGTCTTCTATGCATAACTCTATTCTTTACCTTCCGATCTGATAGTCAGGCTCCTCTGGCATTGCACCCACTCTCCCGTCTGGACCTCCTCAGAAGTCAGTCAAGATCCTCAAGCTTGGGGCAGCCCAAGCCCAATTCACCGGGTGGGTGACGCCATCACCGAAAACCTCACATCAGAGAGTGTGAATCAAGGCAACTCTGATACACGCAAGTATATTTGTATGGAGCCCGCCCCATAGCATCCCCTCGAGTACCTTCCCTGACCGGAGTAGACAGAACCTCGTCACAGGCATACCCAACATGGATCCCTCGGCGTCGTACCGCAACTCCCAGTTGAGGCAATCATATCACGAGCCACAATTTGACGGCCAAAATACCTACGCCCCTGCTCTTGATGGGTCTTCCCAGGCCCAGTACCAGTCACAACAAGGCCATTTCGTTGAGGAGTGGGACGCTACACAACGTGGAAGCTCAATCATCGACGGGCCAAACGGCCACCAACACGATGCCACACAGCCTGCCGACACCATGAGCTACAACCCTGGTGACGATCAGCAACAGCTGGCAATGGCGAACAGGGGGAACTCCTTGAAGAAGAAGAGCTCGACACGACGTACATTGAGTCTGCGCCGGAGCGGCAGCCGTCGAAGCATGAGAGCTGGTAGTGTCAAAAGTCTGGCTTTGAACCCTGCCTCGGACCCCAACGAGGCTCACAGCGCATTTTACTGTCCAGTTCCGACTTCTGGAAACCCAACCCAGGTTCTAATTGACCGATTCCAATGTATGTCTCGTTTCCTTTCTCAAGACGCCTAGTGAACCAATTACCCAGCATCCTGTGACGATCGTATAAAGACTAATGATATTTTGCAGCTTGGCGCAAGGTCCTAAAGGACCTAATTGCCTATTTCAGGGAGATCCAGTCCCATTACGAAAACCGCGGGAAAGCTCTCCTGAAGCTTGCCAACGTTTCCAACAATATCTCGACGCCGTCCGAGTTCCTCACATCCGCCGGCATCGATGACGCGCTACAGTTTCTTCGAGTCTATAACAAGAATGCTATTCTCGAGGCCAACAAAGCCAAAGAAATTGAGGAGGATGTCATCCTAGCACTCGCGGGATTGCGCAGCGACCTCCAGCAAAAGATAAAAGAGATCAAGAACCTATCGGGTGACTTCAAGAACACAGTTGACAAGGAAATGGAGGGCACACGCAAAGCGGTGCGGACCCTACAGGATGTTCTTGGGAAGAATGAGGCGGATGACGCCAGCACCGTTGGGAAGCAGGATCCATTCCTGATGCGCTTGGCTGTGGACCGCCAAGTAGAGCGCCAACTGGATGAGGAGAATTATCTTCATCAGGTATGGCCCAACTACCACACGCTGAGCGTGTACTGCTATGGATATCTAATTAATTCGTGCATTATAGGCCTACTTGAACCTGGAGAATTCCGGTCGAGAGCTTGAATCAATTGTCGTGGGCGAGATCCAGAAGGCTTACAATGCCTACGCTGGGATCCTCAAGCGCGAAGCGGACAATGCCTACAATATCATCGATGAGCTTCGCAGCGGGCCTATTTCAATGCCCAAGGATCAGGAATGGATTCATTTTGTCACCCATGATAAACAATTCATCGACCCAACCATTCCACTGCGTTCCGCTGAGCAGATTCATTATCCCGGCCAGGACCACGTGGCTGCGCAGGAGATTCGCGCTGGTTTACTAGAACGAAAGAGCAAATACCTGAAAAGCTACACTGCGGGATGGTAAGTTTCACCCGCCATGGCCAAACGCAGACAACTGACTTTTTGATATTTAGGTATGTTCTTTCTACCACTCATCTCCACGAGTTTAAATCTGCGGACAAAGGCCAGGCTCCAGTCATGTCCCTTTTTCTGCCAGAACAGAAACTAGGATCCCATTCGACCGAAGGAGGGTCGTCGAATAAGTTCATTCTCAAAGGTCGACAAACAGGCACCATGCATCGCGGCCACACGTGGGTATTCCGGGCGGAGAGCCATGATACCATGATGGCCTGGTACGAGGACATCAAGGCCCTGACGGAGAAAACCCCAGAGGAACGCAGTCAATTTGTACGCCACCATACGCGCAGCTTGAGCCAATCGTCCCGTCGTTCAGCCAGCAGCGACGGGATTGTCGACGAGGACGACGAAGAGCCCTTTTCTGCCGACTCTCAAATCGATGTCAATCCCGGTCCGAGACCTGACACTGCGTCCAGGCGATCACATCCAGGTGGGCGGTTCCCATCTGATATCCAAGTCAATGCACAGCGCGGCTTACAGGCCAGTCGTTCGCCCTCTAGTCTAAGTTCGATTGGCCATGAACAGCAGTCAGTTCCCCAGGATGCCCTTCTGATCGCCGCCACCCAGGCCCTCCCCGGATCACATCTATCTCATGCGGCTGCTACAAATGACCAAGAGCGCGAAAGGGGCTACGGCGAAATGATGGGCCAGGCACCCGTGGATGTCCCATCACACGCTGCTGTTGCCGACCAGGTAGCTCAGTATGACGGAGTCAACCCGTACACGAGTGAGCCCGTTACTCAACCAATCCAGCACAATCGTGGTGAACAAACGACCGCCATCGGACAGATGGCCATCTTGGAAAGCCACGGCAATGGGTCTCAGAACCCCCGAACCAATGCAACCGATGGATCAAATGACAGCAGTCATTCAAACGCATATATTGTCACATCGGGAGGTGACTATTTCAACCAGGCAAGAAACGACGCAGGGCAAGCAACAAACTTCCACCAACAAGGGCATCAGCCAGCTTCCGACGATATCCTAACTCCCTCTACCACGTTGACGGAAAGCACTTTCCATGCTCCTGCTGAGAATATGTTGCCCCGTGATGGCTCGTCTGAACCAACCAGGCCTAGCAAGAACACAACTAGGAATGACAGTGTAAATACTATATCTAACCTCCATATTCCAGGAGGTTTCCCGCGAACAGGGGTAGCATAGTTTTTTTTCTTCCCAGGCCAGAAGTTTTCTTTCATTGTTTCGAACAGTTTCTCTCAGCGTGTTGGGGTTTTGGCTTGGGTTTCCTTGTGGTTATTTCATTCATGAATCGATGGTTGGCTTGGATACTCCTCCTTCTTGGTCCAATTTATTTTTATGCTGGGCTTTTTTCTGGGTAGGATTTTCGCGGAGTGACGGCTGTGCTTGAAATTGGGTAGAAGTTGTCAGGACTACGTACCTTACCCTAAGTTTCCCTCACCCCCAGAGTGGTATATCGATTGATACCCGTTACCGTATGTATAGCTCTTGTCAAACTAAAATGTCTTCATACAATCGCGAGCCGTGCCAGACGTGAATCCGTGGAGCGCATGCAGCTTGCCTGTTGCGACGAAGTGACCCTTCCACTCTTGGGCCTTGTTCCAACGTCATCGGTGGCGCAATTGAGTCCAAGTGGCGGGGACAGTTTCCAGTGGCAAAGTGGCTGATAGGATAAGGTACGTGCACTTTTAGCTCTCGGTCCATAGTTTATCCGGCAAATTCCACCAGCCCCTCTCTAAGCCAATCGGGGCTCTCGTAGCTGTCCAAGCTTTGCTTGAGGAAAATCGCGACCTAGAAAATTTCCACACATGTAAAAAAAAAAAAGTTGCGACTGAGATAGGTAGACCAACCTATTTCAACAACTCCCCCAACCGCAACACATCCCCATCAATTCGTGACAAACCCGAAAATGTCATTTCGGGGTGGCTCTCGCGGAGGCCGCGGCGGCGGCTCTGGATTCGGCGGTCGTGGTGGTGGTGAGCAATCCCTTCCCGAAAGATCATGTCCCCAAGTAGCGGCCAACGCCTGGATTCCCAACCGCCACTTTCACGCAGCGAAATGTACTGACAACATGTGGTATATAGGCCGTGGAGGTTACCAACAGAGAGATTTTGGCCCGCCAGCAACTGTTCTAGGTAGGGATGAACCCCCAATCTGCTCACTTTGACAAAAGGCTGGCAGTGAGTGACGAGTAGTTCGCCGCCCGCGCTGTCTTGCATTGTCCTTGATGCACCCAATCTACTCGGACGCGCACTAACTAATTGGTTGCCTGTAACAGAGATGGGAAAGTTCATGCACGCCTGCGAGGGTGAGATGGTTTGCGAATCGATCAACCCCAAGGTCCCCCATTTCAACGCCCAGATCTACCTCGAGAACAAGACGGCCGTTGGCAAGGTTGACGAAGTCCTCGGACCCATCAACCAGGTCTACTTCACCATTAAGCCTACCGAGGGCATCCAGGCTACATCGTTCAAGGAGGGCGACAAGTTCTACATTGCCGGCGAGAAGCTCCTTCCCCTGGAGAAGTTCCTGCCCAAGCCCAAGCCCCCTCCAGGTGCCCCCAAGCCCAAGCGCGCAGGTGGCCGTGGTGGCCCTCGGGGAGCCTTCGGCAGAGGTGGCCCTAGGGGAGGAGGCGGCCGAGGCGGTCCTGGTGGTCGCGGTGGCTTCTCTCGAGGCGGCGGCCGTGGAGGCTCTGGAGGCTTCTCCAGAGGTGGTGGCGGTCGTGGTGGCGGTGGTTTCTCCCGTGGTGGTGGCGGCGGCCGCGGCCGGGGGGGCTTCAGCAGAGGCAGGTAAACGTGCTGTTTTCCAAGCAACGAACGAGGCATCGATCCAAAGGAGGCACCGAGGTTATATTAGCTTTGTTTGATCTTGTCCAAGGGGACTCCTGGCGTTAACGGAAGGTATTTGGTTTTGAATTTCTTATTTTTTTTTTCCCCTTGCTGCTGAGTTCCGTTCCGCATGACGCGGCTTTGGCCTCTTCTGTGAACGCGGAGGGTGCTTGTAAAAACGACATATAGCTTCACCATTTCAAACAAGGAATTTCAAAAGTGCGAAACTTTCTGCTATGGGTATATTGAATAATGCTCACTATCAAACTGGGAGCAGGATGTGAACTTCCTCTATATCGGCCATAACGCCAAGCCTATCCTGACAAACACATATTATAACCCAAGTAAAGAAACTGAAACCCGAAACGCATCTCCTTGGCAGCAAATGCTCTGTTGCGGATTTATGGCCAAACACACACAACACAAAGGTGGATGACTGGCCATGCCTAGCCGACGAAATCCATACTGTACCGCCTTGTAAAATATGCGGGCAAAAAGCCGCACTGTAAAGGATCCTTTTCGTAGACAGACACCAACCGCCGCCTCAAGATGCGGTGTAGGCATACCTCCTATTCAAGTTGTGGTCTTAAGGCTTTGGTATGCGAATCGTCCGGCTTGTCATCAAGCATCCATGTACCACGAAGATAAGAGCCGCAGGATGGAATTCGAAGACCGAACCCTCGGCAAGCACACCAAATGGAAGATCATGCAGGATCCAGTGGCGGTGGAGCCAGTAAGCCATAAGACCATCAACAGCAAGAGAGGTGGGAATAGGTGTGCCCTCAAAGTACTTGCTCTTGCCGCTCGCATCTTTGGGGAGGGTCGCGGCGGTGACATTGAAACGAGCAAGGCGGGTGAGACCGCAAAGCACGAAAAAGGTCAACCCAACCGTGTCGACAACGGATCGGAGGCCAATCGAGAAGGCCACCATGGCTGGTGCAACTCCGAATGATATCTGTTCACGTCTCAATATGGCGAACCAGAGACCCAGATGGATGTTGAGTGAGTAGGGCCAAAACATACCAAATCAGCAAGTGAGTCAAGCTCTTGGCCCATAAGACTACTCTTCTTCCGCCATCTTGCCACTTTGCCATCAAACGCATCAAAGAAGAAGCCGAACGGGAGGAAAATCAAAGCCACCCATAGGTGGTCAACGGATGCAGGGTCGCCAAGCGCGTATCGCAGGGAAGAGAAAATCGACATGGTTCCGCAGAAGCCTAACATATGACGTTAGCCATAATCCCCGCTGATTTCTGACAAACAGAGAAGGTTTTATATCAATACCATTGAGAAGGGTAATGAGATCAGCTAGATGAAGAGCCCTGACAAGAGAGAAATGCCCGACATCTGCGGACAAGAGTCTTTTCTGTTTATCCACTGCTATATGCACAATCGCCATCAAGTTAGCAGATGGTTGTCCCACGTCGTAATATCGGGTTGCTATTATCATACCGGGCTGGCTGGAGGGTCCCGCATCCTTCCCTGCACCTCCGTTGGAGCTCGTAGGCCGCTTCGACATGACCGGCTAGAATCGAATGTAAAGTTCGAGAGTAGGAAATTGATGTAGGAAATCACTGTCCACGTATTCGCGGGTATGCTGGTGGTGTGGGATGTCGTATGCAAACGGTCGAGGCAATGGAGGGCGAGGTAGATCGAGGGAGGAGAAGAATGGAGCTGAATCAGGGCACGTCAATTCTGTTAAACAATTGACGAGCAGAATGGGCTAGAAGGTAAATAATAGTGCCTAGGGCCGTGACAGCGTGCGTGGCTTTATGATCAACACATAGGAATCATTCTCTAATGCAGAATAAAATGCATGCCGTCATCCACAGCCAAGTCACAGACAATCAAACAAGCAGAACAGGGTTTTGCCTGCTGACTCATCATGAGAGCATTGACCTTGATGATGACCCACCCTAGAGCTCTCAGCCCCAAGCTTCTGATACAGTCCCAATCTCATCCAGGTCGTCGATCAGGCTGCTATCGCAAACAGTACCTACTAGTTGCATCAGTTATCGCATATGCACATCAATCCTATTGGTGATAAGAAGACTCTATCTTGGTATTATTTACTATCGATTCGCCAGTTTGGGCGCAAGAACTCCCAAGAGGCCGCACCTGGCGTATGTAAGACCAGCATCAACTGTGCTTTATCCAGCGAGATCTGGTATCTGATCTTAGCGGATAAGTCGCCTGCTCCCTTTTCAAAAGCAGGCAAACAAGAAAGAAAGATATACACAAGAAACAGCAGAAAGAGCAACCGACTAACCCAGACCATGCATAACCAAACCTACCTAGGCTTCCTACCAAATGCCTAGTTCCCTTTCCTGTTGTCAACGTCAAACCGCCGTATGCCGGGCGTATTAAGCATACATGAATATAGCCAAGTATGCGTATGTGCGTGTATTAGATGCTGTGTAGTCCAACGAGAAAATAAAAGTATACCTTCCCTACACGACGTATCAAGTATTAGGCATCCTCTGACCGAGATAACAATAGACCGAAATACAAAATGCCGACCCGCGATTTCATGTACGTATGTATGTATGTATGTATGTATGTATGTATGGCGTTCATCATCGTTGAATGAGTATCGAAAAACTGTCGAGCCGTGCGCCACACGAACCAGATACACCGCAGATGGTGTATCCACGTGGTGGTATTAGCAGATGGCTAGGACGTAAATGTTAGCTGAGTTTCTATATCCATAGTGCTGTATTCGTGTGGGGAGTGGCAAGACTAACCCCTCGCCGCCAAATGGTTTGCCAAACACAGGCGACTTCCGACCCAAACTTGTCAAAATTTGAAGAGCATCTATCCAGAGACCTGCTCTGACATAAAAGCCACTAATGTACTCGCCGCGGCGAACGTCTGGATCACGTCACATGTTAACAAAGCCGAATGTTCCAGTATTCACCATGACTATAGTGTCCACACTCACCAAGATCAAAAACATCCCCATTTTTTTCGTCGCTTTCCATGCCTAGAAGCTGTGATGATTCGTCGTCGTAAATGAACTGAAGGCCGTGAACGGCCTCTCCATGGTAAACAATGATACGAGACAGCACCCTATCCTGCCTCGTCGCACTGATAAAAGCCATGTCCTGGAATTGATCATTCGTGATCTCTGGCTGGCCCATTGGTTTGCTGCGGAAGGCCAGAGTGCTGTTCTCTAGCTTAATGGATGATTTCTTGGAGACAAATGCAATAAAATCGTCAACGTCCACTGATTGCCCACCATGTGACTTGATGGCTATCTTCAAACCAGATTTTCTCTTTGCCTCCGGGAGCCTCTTGCGTAGGTCTTCCTCAGTCAACGAGATTTGCTTCTGAATGTGGCCAGCGTCGGCCGGGCATTCAATCCAAGTTCCACAAACATCATCCCCCTCGCAGTAGATCTCCACGAATGAAATACCAGTTGCAGCTGTGGCTAGCAACTGACCTCCATCGGCCGGGAAAACTTGAACGCCTTCGTCAAAGTTCATCGGAATATCGTTTGGTAGCCTAAAGGCAGCATGGGCGCGAAATCTCAGACAGTCCAATCGATGCCACTCACACTCAGTATCTGTCCAGCAGAAGCCACCCTTGGTCTTGGTTCGTGTAGAGTAGGCTTCGCGCGACACGAAACTTCTGTTGAACACAACATAATCTCGCAACATGACGCCCCCTTCTTGATGTGGACATCCAAATAAGTGCCCGGTTTCGTGGAGATGACCACCAATTCCGATATTTGCGGCTTCCCAGGAGCTTCCAGAATCACTGCAGTTGGAGACACAATTGCTATCAGTAGGCGTGCAATCGGTAAAGGCAGGAACAACCTCTTCGATGCTAGCCGGATAGCTGTACAAGCAATGCGACCCGAAGACAGCAAGGTTCAAATCGCCAACAGCGCCCCCCAACGCAGCATGCCCCGTTACGGTCTTGGACGCAGGATCCCAGTGGGAGTCAAGCAATAAAGCCGACACGTACTGTTTCTGGCCCGGTAGCGGGTCAAAGTACTGCTTGACAGCATCCGCGACGATGCCTAGCAGGCCTTCCTTATCATTAGTACCATCGATGTCCCGCAGCTCCGCAACGGTCCGTTCAGATCGAATGATGTGTATTCTGGCTTCGGATCGCATGGTGCCGTACTCTCTGTCACGGTGGTTGGCTGTTCCGGAAGTCCACTCTTCTTCGAATCTGAATGCCCGTCGCCCCATCTTGTGCCTATACATTTGCTCCGCCGTGAAGGCTTGCCAAAGGTAGGCAGCCATACGAAACTTTCTAACTGCTGTGTCCAGCCCATTCCCTTCCCGTTCAGCTCGCGCAGGAGGAGCATCAAAGACACCTGGAGAGTCCTTGCCTAAAACGATGGCGAGTTGAAGTGGAGGAGCGCTGGTATTCGGCATCATGTGAACGGTAAGGTAAGAAGCGTGAATGGGGTTCGAGGTGGTTGAATTGGCCAATTTCGGGCTACTGAAGTCAAATCGGAGCTTGTTGGGGCCGGGCTGCAGATAAATCATCGCTTTGAACCGAGACTCGCAAACAGGCCAGCTGGTGGCGGGGATGTTATCATCAAGCCTCGTTATGGTAAGACTGCCATCAAGGCTGTGGTTGTGAAGTTCAGAGTCGCCGATTGACCCATGGACAAGCAGGGCTTTTTGGTAAACCCACGCATTCTCGGGTACGTTGTGTATGCGCGGAGCATATTGCGATATAGGGGCGTTTGGTCTCCCATGGTTGGAAGGAGCTCCAAGACCCGACATGCCCGAAACGCTATGGCGATTCGACAAGGCGGCCGGAGTAAGAGGCGGCCGGGCCTGGGGCTGTGCATACTGTTGTTGCGAAAGACCCAGAGAAGATTTTGAATCCGAAGCATCCTTCACCTGAAGATGCAGAGCTGGGTCGGACTGGTAAGCTATCGACGGAGGAGTAGCAGAGCCGCTTGGCGGGCCAGTGCCGCCATTACTGGTGGCGCCTTCGCTCGATGTGTCTGTAGAACGATCTGTGCGGAAGCTGGCTCTTGACCGGCGTCGAAGACTCTTCAAGAAATTGGGTGCCATAGCGCCCGGGAGAGGGGGCGAGGATCGTGAACGAGCGGATTGGTAGATGTTGGAGTATTGAATCGATCGATCGCCAGCGACGGCCGGGTGCGCAGAGGGTGTCGATGGCCAGATGCGTATTCTCGTGGCCTCGTCGGTGCTGACGACGCGATGGAGAATGACGAATTGGCCGCTCCACGCGATAAGGAAATGACGAATTGGTTGCTGCTACGCCGGGCAGGCTATAGAGTTGTTTGATTAGCCACTACTACGTTGTATGGGCTCGTATTGTGAAATAATATGGAGACTGACCCGCCGAGTACCAATGGTCGCAGCGAGGAGCAGTTGCTTGCCAAACCGAGCTGACAGCAGCTGATGCCGTGTCGTCGTGAGGGGGCGCAGGGGAATGCAGGGAAAGGCTATGTGACAAACGAGTGCAGCCCAAAGGCTAACTCGGGTTGTTGGCTGGTGTTGTGCCGCAAGCAGCAAGGGGGAGGGGAGATCGAGACGATCGACAGCTCCATCCTGCCTGCCACCGCCGTAATACGAGAATGGAACCGTGGTGGGCAGGGCAGGTGCTGGCCTGCCGATGATGTAAGGTTCTCAATTCGGGCCGTCTTGCACCAGATTGCTGGGCGGCGAGGAAAGGGCCATGAAATGCGTCGCAGAGAAGGAGCAAGAGTTATCGGATTGTGGCATTATTCCAAAGGCTGAATGGATTCGACATTCTATCCAATCATAGGTAAGTTGTCCGATAATGTCTCATTCTTTTTCACCGTACTTGTCTTATTAAAATACCTGTTATTATTATGCTTATTATATATAATATAATCCCTTTAAAGGAATTCTAGATATAGAAAATTGATATACTCCTATGAATTAAAAGAAGAGTTTTTTGTTTTTATAATTAAGGCTTAGTTTCTCTAATTAAAGCTCAATCTTTTATTATATAATCATCAAGCCTCCGTTGTTCCCAACTTAGCATCGTGAACTACCTACCAACATAGGCTTCCACAGCCCCAACCGGTATGAAGAACAGGGCTATTCTTCTACTAATATCTCCTGGATCTATGTTGACCAGGGCTATGTGTACCTTCAATTAGTTCAGAATATTCCCTCCGCCTTCACTGCACCACTCACAATATGACAACCGAAAACACACGTTTTGATCTTTGCTTTCAAGATAATGACCTCGGTCCCTTCGCATGCCTCAAGCACATGCTGATCAAAGATGGCCAAGGCAAACCAAAAAAACAAAAACTAGATCTTACTGTGCGCGACCGCGATATAGTCTTTTGCGTTTCTTTTGATGCATCTACTGTCTGCGTGCTACACCTGCAGTGTGTTCGCGAGGATACTGTTGCAATGGCACAGGTTGCTATCGAGGAGCTTTTAGATGAGCTGAAGTCCTTAAATAACAGAAACAATGAACTTACGACTACGGTGGAGATTAAGAAAGAGGATCTTAATGATGTGATTCATTATGAATTTCAGAGAT